ACCCACCACCCACACCCACCCACACCCACACACACACACACACACATATAAATAATATATATATATATAATATATATATATATATGTATATATATTGATATATACATATACACATACATATACAGATACATTTACACACACACACACACACACACACACATATATATATATATATACCTATATACACATATACATATACACACACATAGACATATATATATATAGACATACATACGTATATACTTATATATATATATATATATATAATATATATCTGTGTGTGCATGGGGGGGTACAAACGGGAGAACCATCCATGTACATGGGTTGTTTTTATACACAGACTCTTGAAGCATTCTTCATATATATAGAAATAACTGTTTACTGATATCAACAGCAATCGTATCACATCACTTACTCGTATTTCAAAACATCTCGTACGGTGATGCGCTTTTCGACGTCGACAGTCATCATGCACGTGATAATCACTCTCGCATCATACTCCAAACTCTCCGGGAAGTTGAGCTGTGATGGGTGGGAGTGTGCGAGGGTGCGTATGGGATTGGTTTATAGAAAGTGTAAGAGAGTGTGGACTTGTAAATTAATTCATATATTAATTTATAAACTGGTTGATAGATTTATTCTTATATTCATTTATCAACTGATTGATAAATTAATTCATGATCCATAAATTATTTCATAAATTCAATTTGATACACATTTGATTGTGCTCCAAAGACATGCACTGATACATCAACCACCCGGAATTCAATTTGATACACATTTGATTGTGCTCCAAAGATATGCACTGATACATCAACCACCCGGTTGCTAGGCAACTGCTCTTCAAATATAAAATATATAAATGCCTCACACTACATGAAACAGTACACATATCTCAATGTTTACCACGTGTACGTTGACAAAAACCGCATACACAAGTACATACATGCATATTAACGTACACATATACATACATACATACGTACCCATATACATACATACACATATACACACATGCATGCATGCATACTAACCTACACATATACATACATACATACGTACACATATACATACATTCACATATACACCCATGCATACATGCATACTAACTTACACATATACATACATACATACGTACACATATACATACATTCACATATACACCCATGCATACATGCATACTAACTTACACATATCCACACATGCATACATGCATACTAACGTACACATATACATACATACATACATACGTACACATATACATACATACACATATACACACATGCATACATGCATATAAACGTTCACATATACATACATACATAAGTACACATATACATACATACACATATACACACATGCATACATGCATACAAACGTACATTATATATACATACATACGTACACATACACATATATACACATATACATACATGCATACAAACGTACACATATACATACAAACATACATACACATATACTTAGATTCGCATATATAGACATACATATATGCATACACGTATAAATACATGCATACACAAACGCACACTCACAGCACAACAGTACACACTGTGGCGAGAGAGTGTGTGTTGGCGTGCACAGGGCAGTCTCACACACAGCTCTCAACAGAGCGATGGCATATTTCATAGGCAGATCAATCACAATCTAGATATCAACGTAACACGAATGTACCAATAATAATGTACTATATATATATATATATATAGCATGAATGAATTAATAGTCACACTCCAGATATCAATGTAACACGAATGCACCGATAATAGTGTACTATACATTAATATATATCTGAATCACATGAATGAAATATCAAGAATACACTACACATACATATATATCTGAATCACACGAATGAATAAATACTAATGACAATACACTATACATACATATATATCCATATAAGATGAATGTACATATATTAATATACTACATATACATACTCCGACACCCCCCCACCCCCCCCTTTCCCACACACAAACGTTTACACACTGAGTGCAGCAACACAGCTTGTGGGGTGAGTGTCTGTGCTGTTGTGATACGCTCACCACAGTGACACACATAGCTCACCTTCTGCTGTGCGACCGCTCCTAAGAAGGCTTCCAGGTCTGTTGTATTGGGAATGAAGGGGAACATCCCTGCGGAGAGGGGGGGTGGGGCGAGAGACATGTGACTATGGAGCCTACATGGACAACATGTATTCAATACTGTGTGTTTGTATATGACAAGTAGCCTACATTAATACTTATCTTCAATAGTGTGTGTCTGTATATGATAAGTAAGTAGCCTCTATATTCAATCGTGTGTGTTTGTATATGATAAGTAAGTTGCCTACATTGATACCCTACCTTCCAATAGTGTGAGTTTGTATAGGCCTGTTGTCCGTTAGGGTCCATGTCGTGTGTGATCGAGGGTGCGTTTTGCCATCAACGTCTGAGCTGTGTGGAACTGTATCCGTGCAAACGGATTGTCGCACAACATTCAAACCTACTATGTGCCCACCTATGTTGTGCCTACCTATATGATAGCTCCTAGTCTTACTATCCATACATACATATACGTTAATTCTGTCTGTTATGTACCTATAGCCACATTGAATGCCATCACACCATTCTCAACGCCCACACAAACAGCAGCCGAGGTCAGTACGGGGTAGGTACCACAGATCAGGTGCTATAAGGAGAACATCTGTATGTACACATACCCGTCTACCTTCACCAACACGCACCTTCAAAGTCAACCACTAACACATCCCCAAACACACATACAAACCAAAACACACATACAAACCAAAACACACATACAAACCAGAACACACACACAAACCAAAACACACACACAAACCAAAACACACACACAAACCCAGACACACACACAAACCCAGACACGTACCTGTCGCCATATTGAATAACACCACTCCCAACGCCCACACGTCCAGCGGCCGAGGCAAGTAGGGCGCGTGGACCAACTCAGGCGCTACGTAGTAGATGGTGCCACAGACATCACTGCAGCGTTCATTCTCATGGGTTAATCGCACGGCCGCCCCAAAGTCTGTGAGCTTCACATTGCCGCGGTGGTCCTGTAAGGTGTGTGTGTGTGTGTTAGTTTGTATGTATGCATGTATGTATACACACAGTATCACACTGGTATGATATGCATAGACACACTATGATGAACATCCTGATGACTTCACCCACATATACGTACCAATAGCATTTTATATATGCGTACACACACTACGACACATATGCTAAGAACAACACACACACAAACACACACACACACACATATATATATATATATACATTATACACGCATACACACCTATGACACATATGTTAATAAAATCACACACACACACACACAACTACTCTATACATACACTATATATATATATATATATAGTTATACACACATACACACCCTATGACACACATCCTAATAACTTATATTACACACACATACACACCCTATGACACACATCTCAATAACCTCACCCACAGATACGCACCAACAGTATATTGTCTGGCTTCACATCGCGGTGGGCTATGCTGTGTTCGTGCAGATAGCCCACTGCCTGTAGCATCTGATAGAACAAGTGCTTGGTCTCTTGTGGCTCCATGCGACAGTCAGGTCGACTGCTCAACAGACTGGTCAGAGTGCCGCCGGTGGCCAGACCCAGGACTATAAAGAGATACCTGCAGGAAGGGTAAGAGGGGCTATAAATAGAAATACTATAGAGATATAAATATATGCGGGGCTGCAACGAGATATAGCTGAATGAATGTTAAGAGTGGCTATAAATAGAAAAACTATAGAGATATAAATATATATAGAACTATAAAGAGATATACCTGCAGGAATGTAAAGAGTGGCTATCAATAGAAATACTATAGAGATATAGATATATATAGAATTATAAAGAGGTATACCTGCAGGCGTGTTAAGAGTGGCTATAAATAGTAAAACTGAAAATAACTTAACATAACTATAGAACAATAAACAGACGCCTGTATGAACTTTCACAGGCCAGATCTATAAATAGATAGGTGGACGAGAGGGGCAGTACAACAACATTAAGTGAATGGGAGTATCCATCATGTGGTCCAATTCAGGCCAGATCTATAAATAGATAGGTGGACGAGAGGGGCAGGCACAATAACAATAAGTGAATGGGAGTATCCATCATGTGGTCCAATCACAGGC